ATAATTATTATTATTCAAAGATCTATTGTTTCTTATCAAATTCAAATATTCATCTTGCTAGCTTTTTTATCAATGATTAATAATTATAACTTGGCCTAAACTAAAAAGAATTGTGTCGCCATCCATTGATAATGAATTCACATTGGTCACAAATGACATGTAGGGCTAACAACACTTGGTGTGTGTGTGTGTTTTTGTGTGCACGCCTTGGATCATTTGAAGTGTCATTGTAGGGCCAACAACACTTACATGATGAGAAAATCTATAATCAAGATATGCACTGATTGGTCGTCATCATGAAGAATGGAGGAGAGGCATATCCTTGTTAAGGTTTTGTGCTGGTACTTATTAAAAGAGACAATATACTCTTTCATGAAAAGGGGAGGAGATATTGAGATTGGGTAACTAGGTCATGAATAATTATGGATGATTACAGGGAGTTCATTTAGAGACGTGGAAGAAAAAACTCATGAAGTTACAACAACAAAAACAAGCATTTATCCCACTAAGTGGGGTCAGCTACATGAATCATTTTTTTAGCATTGTGTCACATTGAGTGCCATATTTTCATTTAATTCTAATATGTTAAATTTTTATTATACAATATGCCCAATTCTTTATAATTTTACCTCTTTCTTTCTTAACATAAGTTGAATCTAAAACATCACTCTCTTAACTCGATCATCAAATGGTCGACATTTAATGCGACTAAATCATCTAAAATGATCTAAGATGACTCTCTCTAATCTTGTCTGCCACTGAAGCTACACCAATTCTATCATGGATATATTTATTTCACATTTTTTCTCTAAGTTTCAAGCCACTCATCCACTTCAGCATTCTCATCTCAGCAACAGTTAACTTTGTTTTATACTTTCCTTTTAAAGGCCAACATTCTGCGCCATAGAGCATTGCAGGTCTATCCACCATCTTATAAAATTTTCGTTTAAGTCTAAGAGGTACTTTTCCATCATACAACAGACCCGATGCATTCCTCCACTTCAACTAACTAACTTGAATTCTACTAATAAAATCCCAATCCCCATCTATATCCCATCTATATCACCATCACTTTGAACAATAGACCCGAGATATCTAAAGCATTCACACCTTTTAATGATTTGATCATTCATAGTCACAACTCTGTCACTAGCGCTACTACCACTAAAATTATATTCATTGTATTCAATTTTAGATTTACTCAACGAAAGCCTTTAGACTCTAATGCAAGCCTCCATAATTCAAGTTATTCTTGAACTCTTTCTCCAATCTTATTCACAAGAAGGATATCATCAGCGAAAAGCATACACCAAGGTACATCCTCCTGTCAATGTTCAGTAAGAGCATCCATAACTAAAGTAAAGAGGTATGGGCTTAGAGCCGTTTCCTGATGTAATCTAACTGAATAGAAAAATACTTGGCCGATCCTTCTGTTCGAACACAAGTAACTATACGTATCTAATGATTTGAGATAAGTCATATCAACACTTCTCTGCTCTAAAACTCTCCAAAGGACTTGGAATTTTTCATAAGCGTTTTCTAAATTAATAAAAATCATATATAAATCCTTCTTACTTTCTCTATACTTTTTCATTAAACCTCTCCATAAATGTATAGCTTCCATATTAGACATGCCCGACATAAAGCTAGATTGATTTTGAGAAATTTTTGTATTAGGTCTTAATCTATATTCAATTACCCTCTCCCATAATTTTAAAGTATGACACATAAACTTAGTTCCTCTATAATTTGAACCCTATTGTGCACCCCCTTTATTCTTAAACATGGCGACCAAAATACTCTTCAATCACTCCTTTGGCATTATGTTTAGTTTTTAAAACACTATTAAAGAGTTTAGTAAGCCAAGATATTCCCAAATCTCCAAAATATTTTCATACTTGAATTGAGATATCATCATGCACTACTTACTCATTTCTACCCTTGGTTTTCTTTCAAGCTTCATCAACTTCTTTATTAGTAATGTGACGATAAAAATAAAATGTTATTATTATTATTAACGACATTAAGATCACTAAGGTCGATCGTATTTTCTGAAACTTTATTGAAAAGTTTATCAAAATAGCTTACCAACCTATGCTGAATATCTTTCTCTAAAAAAATATTTTTTGATTTTCATCTTTAATGTACTTTTCTTGAATTAAATCTTCTTTTTTCTCTTAATTTAGCTAGTTTATACATATATTTTTCACCCTCTTTAGTGTCTAATTTATTATGAAGTTTATTAAAAATAGAAATTTTAGCGTCACAAATTGTTCCTTAGACTCCCTATGAGTCACTTTATATTTTTTTTCAGTTCTCTAAGCTTTTACATTTGAACCAATTTTTATAAAACACTTATATTTTATTTTTTCTTGCACATTATTATTCCACCAATAACTATTTTTATTTATAAGAGTTTTAATTATTTTTATTTATAAAAATTTTTCTTTTTTATTTTTCAATTACATCTTTTGTCACTTGCTTAATTGTGCTTGTTACTTTATCCCACATAGAATTAACTTCTTTATTAATATCCAAAATTTTGAAATCTTGAAGTTTACTCGTAAAAATATTTTTATTTTTGTTTTTTAGATACCCCATCTAATTCTATGAAAATGTTTCACTGCATTATTTATCTTACAACTTCTCATCTTAAAATTCAGAATTAATAACTGATATTGAGTATTTAAAATTTTCACTTTGAATGACCTTATAATCTTTACATTCTCGACGATCTTTGTTTCTCATAAAAAAAAATTAATTTGTTGTTTCCTCATAAGAAAATAATCAATGTGTTTTATTAGATCATTCTTATAAGTAATAATATACTCATCTCTTTTCTTAAATGAAGTTGATTAATCATTAATAGTTATTAGAAAGTTTTGATGATATATCTGCATTACCATACAAGAAGTGACGTGATTCTATTTTAAGAGGTTATTAATTCTTCCATGAAGAAGGGACGAGAGACATCTACAAGTTAAGGGGAAGTGTTAGTAGTTATTATAAGTGGCAATATACTCTTCCATGAAGAAGGGAGGGTATTTAGATCGGGTACCAAGATTAGGAGCAACAATGGATTGCAAAGAGTTCATTAGGACACATGGTTCTAATGACCCATGAAGCTGATTAGCCATTAGCAGTTATTAGAAAGTTTGATGATATATCTGCATCACCATATAAATGTTTTAGGTTATTAGAACTATAGTCCCATCTTTTAATTTTAAAAATAATCTCAATTACTAATTGGCATCCAACAGCATTAATACTTTACCTTTGAATTTTAAGGGTTGAATAGAATTATGATAGTTAGAATTAAAGTATAAATTTCCTTTTATGAATGCATTATCATGCATGCTTGAGCTATGAAAAGAGTTGTGAAAATATCAAGTGTTAATCCCGGTTTTGAATAGTGACCCCTTGGATATTTTTATTATAACTCCCAATTTAGAATTGTATTATATCTAAAAATCCATGTAGACCCTATATATACTAATGTGATCATTTGGAATGAAAAGACAGACTATTTGAGCATAGAACTCCTCTAAATGTCATTTTTATATCCTTGGTTAACTTTTTTTAATCGTTCTATTTTTCCTAATTTATATTACATTTTACTTGCATTCTTTATATATTTCAATTATTTTGCAACGAAATGAATTTTTTTTTCTTTTAAATACTATATGTGTACAGATGTATCATCCGGAAGAAAAAATGTAATATTTATCTTCTTTACACAATATTATCGATGCCAGAATTTAATTAATCTTTTCTTTTCTTATAACTATGGCACACTAAAACTAAATTAGGTTTGAGAATTTATTTTTTTAGTGGGAAAGTTCCAAATGGAGACAAATAAAGGTTCACATAATTTAATTTTTTCTTTAAACTTTGCAGGCATCCGATTGGCAACGCACTTAGGTTCAATAGGAGAATTCAACATATTTTAATCATCTCGTGTCTTCAAGAAAATTTGAGCCATTTAGTTTGCTTCCTACGTTTAGTGTTCATTAACCATTTTTTATCCCTGACAGAAGCCTGCATCTCGATTACATCATAAAACCTTAGGTAGTAAATATATATCCCATTTATTGACCTCCTTCTCTTCTGTCAAATTTAGTCATGTTTAAAAAAATTGCTCAAGTTTGTTCTTATAATTTTTTGTTGCTTTGTTTTAAAAATTTCTTCTCCTTTCTATACTTGTGGGACAACAAACACGCATGATTTATTTACATCATGTTAAAAAATTTGAAACCAACCAGATAATAGGTAGATAGATAGATAGATAGATAGATAGGTAGATAGATGGATATGTAGATAGATCTCTCCCATTCGACATGGGCTCAACCTGTCTCCCATTCACAATGGTTAAAGATGGAGTAAATAGCTTTGGAAATAGTTATTTAAGCTATTGTTAACCATTGTGAATGGGAGACGGGTTGAATTCCTAAGAATTATATAGAACTGAATAATCTGAGTTTTATCTATTTTGATAAATAGAAATGAATTTTATGTATGCAGAAGGGTGAGAAGTGCTTGGACAGCCAAAGTAAGTTACTCTTTTGTTAATTTCATTTTAATAAACTATGTTTTGGAAGATTTTGTTTTCTTATGTTAAGGAACTGGCATGTTTGTTGTCAAGTGGGCTAGAACCTATTGGGAAATTGACTTGATGGTATAAATGACGAAAAACGATGTGCTTTTTGAACGACCAAAATCTGCTGTGAGAAATCCCCATGGAAGGATTGATAAACGCCTAAGAGCAAAATCATCATTTTGAATTTGCAAAACAAGCCACACCAGCTTCTACGATGTGATGTATAGAAAAGTTTCCCTTTTACCATATTCAATTTGAAGGAGCCATGCTTTTGTATTGATTGATTCCATCTAATTTTCTGTATGGTACTATTTATGTGCTATAATATACATTTATTTTGCATTATATAAGAATATTTAGATGATAAATTTCCTAATTAGGATTTCCTTGTTGTCATCTGCAGCTCCATCTGTTAAAGGATCTGGTGAATGTGGGACCTTATATTTAGCTGATCCGCTTACAGCCTGTACTAGCTTGAAGAATAAGGCAATTGAAGGCCAGCTTTCTCCGTTTGTGTTAATTATAAGAGGGGGTTGCGCATTTGATGATAAAGTTAGAAATGCACAGAGTGCTGGGTTTAAGGCTGCTATTGTGTATGACAATGAAGATAGTGGCTCCTTAGTTTCAAGTTAATATTCTAAACTTGTTTTAGCAAATTTACCACCAAGTTTTTGTGAGTAATTCTCATGTTTTTCTTTTAATATTCTTAGTTCATCCTTTAATAAAATCATAGATGCAACTGTTGTTTCTTGTTGTTTACAAATCTTTTATAAAGATCATGGATTGCAGATTTTGGTTCGCTAATGTAACATTATATGAGCATGCATAATGATTGATAGAAAATCAACATGAGCTGATAAAACTAATTTGGCATGATTTAGGAGGGGTGCACTAGAGGTAGATGTTATGCAAAGAAATTTACTCAAAAGTATATCTTACATCTGTTTTTTCATTAGGAGTTAATTGAGAACAAGGATTCATTAGGTGAACCTCAAATAGTATGTAGCTGTTGATGATGATAATTATATGGGTTTCCAAGGATGCTGGGCTTAGTTTGTAGACACAGAAGCAATTCTGTGCATGGAATACTTGGAAAGCTGCTTTATCAGACTGTTCCTAAAATACATTAAGTGAATAGTTGTGCTCCTGTATATTTTTCTGAATGGTACAATATTAATTAATTTACTAATTAATCTTCCCTTTATAAAGTTTAATAGAAGTTTTGTTTATTATGTTCATTTCATCATTGATTTTATTGAAATTGTTGATAAGGAGATTTTTTTACTTTGAATATTATTTGCTTAAGCATTTTGTAGAATAAGATAATGAATTAGGTTCTTGTTCATGTCTTTTGGTATGAAAAAATGAAATGGTTTAATTTCTATTACCGTTCTTAGGGTTTCAGCTTGATCTTGATAGCTTTAATTATTGTGAATTATAAAAGACAGAAGATTTGAAAGAAGACTATTGGATATTTAAGCTAGTATTATGTTGGTTAACAATTTTTATCCACTTTCTAGAGTTTTACTCCTTAAAATTTAATGAACTTACTCATTGTTCAATTTATCATGCTATTTCATCTGCCTATATCATTTGCTTAGTGGATTAACTAATTATGCAAATCTTTAATGGATCAACTAAACATTTAGGGTATGTTTAGCTTGAAGCAACTAAAGGGAATTGAAATGCGTTGTGCTTCATAATTCTATGCCGGGTGTTTGGTTTCAATATAGCTAAAGGGTAATAATGGGATTAACCTACGAATTGTGAACATATGCATTTTTATAGTGCCCATTCCCTACTCAATCCTATTGAAAGTGGGAAAAATTTTTTTTGGGACATTACTTTTTCTCACATCACCTCTCTTTACAAGAAATAAAAATTCAATTTTTCATTAACCAAGAAGTACAGAAAAAGTCGCTCTATTTCTTCTCAACTAAATAATTGAGGTCAAACCAATTTTCAATTCAAAATCTAAAGCCTGGGGAGTGGGTAACCATTTGTTATTTTCTACACCAATAAAATTTTCAATTACTGAATGTTGGACTAAGCCCAGTATTCTTAAATATGTTAACCATGGTCTCTGTTTATATCGTTCCTCACTGCACTTGAACAGAAATTTTTTTTGATATTATCAAGCGCCATGCACCGAAAGTGTACTCAAGCACATGGATCTATTTTGGGAGTCACCAACTGTTGAACTTTGGTCAACCATGGTAGAAATAGCCAAGACCCTCTGCAAGTAACTACTTCATCAGAATCAGCCTGTGGGCTCTGTTATTGTTTGTTAAAAAGTGTGGATCAAAAGGGTTTTAAAGCTGGGCCTGAAACACATTAGGTAAACTTATTTTCGTGTTTTACTCCTGTGAGAGGGGCCAACTATATTTAACCTGCATGCTGTTAAAATATTTTTATAATGTTCTTACTGACACGAACTTAGCGAACATCCATTTATATTCAATTCAAATGCATTAAACCATTATGTAGGTTACCATTGTTGGGAAGTCCCCATGATCCATTACACCAGGCAATGTAAATTCTGTCTCTTCAATTCAGAAGCTTTATACTTTGCTCCTAAAGTAATTTTGATATTGACAACATTTTAAAGTTCTTCCATGCCACCCTACTTTTACCCTCATTTTCCTCCGACTTAAAACTGATATTTGATTTTGCATTTCATCTTGGTGCGTAAAGTGAGATTAATATCTGTATTGCCACGTCTTTATAGTGATCTATGTTTTTGTTGTCTTTTTTTTAAGAGAATGATATTCTGCAACCAGCAAATTCATTTTGCTTCTAATATTAATGTTGATCATGGATATATATTTCAGTGGCAGGAACTCCAGCTGGCATACACATACATGCAGTTTTTATCTCTAAATCAGCTGGTGAAACTTTGAAGAAATATGCTGGTCGTACTGATATTGAGCTGTGGATTATTCCAACCTTTGAAAATTCAGCATGGTCGATCATGGCCATCTCTTTCATATCTCTGCTAGCCATGTCTGCTGTGCTTGCAACATGCTTCTTTGTACGCAGACATCGTGTGAGGAGAGATCAGCCTAGACCTCTCAATGTGAGAGAGTTCCATGGAATGAGCAGCCAGTTAGTAAAAGCAATGCCAAGTCTCATCTTTACCTCTGTCCTGGAAGATAATTGTACTTCAATAACATGCGCTATTTGCTTGGAGGACTACAGTGTTGGAGAACAACTCAGAATTCTTCCATGCTGTCACAGTAAGTTTAACTCATTTTGTAATTTTATGTGCGCTTTATTTTGCTGGTGGATAGAGAATATATTTTATTGTTTTGTTCTGCTTCTTGTGATTAATTGAATACTTCCTTAGAATTCTACTCATCATGAACTTAAGTTGGGTTGATTGATGTGCTTGTTTCTTTGTACGTTCTCTTTCATTTATAGTTGCCTTCTGGAGTATGGAATAGGTTTATTTGGGAGATGGAGGGAGATGGTTGGAGTAGCATCTATTGAAGCTAAGTTGAAAATAAATAAATTATATATATATATATATATATATATTGATGTGTGCTAAAAAATTCACTGTGGTTGAGTAATGAATTATGCAATTGGTAGAAAATGCATCCATTAGATGGTTAAATAAAATTATTGTTGAAGGATTAAGAAGAAAAATGGGTGGGTGGACCTAAGGTAACTTGGGGATTTATAAATAAACTGTTTTGACACATTAGAAACTAACAGAAAATTAGTATCCATAAAGCTCAATCAGGTTAAGGATAGTGATAATATTGATGTTGTTGAACTAAATAAAAAAAATCTAATTTTTGTGTCACCGTTGGTTTCAGTGCAAGTACGAAACATAGAGCATATCTAGTAATATTTCTTTATGGATCTATATAAAGCCATCATTTTTTAATTGACCATATTTGGGAAGTTACTGTTTTCCTGCTAAAAGTTAAATTTCCCTGTACTGATTTTAGTGCAGTTGTTTTGATGTTTATTAGTCTTCGGAATTAGACTATCGTGTTTTGAAATGTTGATTAATGTTTTCTTTTCATAATTTGACAATAGAAAATCTGAATTTTGAAGTGTTAGAAGCTGTACACCCTGTAAATCTGGATCATGAAAGCACATGAGAACACATGGGAAATAATGACATGCTCGAAAAGCTCAGTAACATCTTAGCTTGCTCTTGTGATGCCTGCAGTGTTTAGAATCACTATACTCTGCAAATTCTCTTTTATAAACTGCTATCATCTTCAATATCAATACCAGTCCATCTTTTTCATCTTCATTTCTTATATTTTCGTGGTAATGTCTTATTTTCTAAGTTTCCTTTATCCTTGCATGTGCAGAGTTCCATTCATCCTGCGTTGATGCATGGCTTACTTCCTGGAGAACATTCTGCCCTGTCTGCAAACGTGATGCGAGAATGGCCATGATGAACCCACCCGCCTCCGAATCAACTCCCCTGTTTACTCCTGCCGCTGCATCCTCTCCAATCCTATCATCATTTCGCTCATCCTTCCACTCATCAGTCGCAGCTTCTCCATCTGCAGCCATTCCAATCGGTTCCACAGCGCCTCACTCTCTGCTAACCTCCAGAACCCATTCCATCTCCAACATTCCTCGCCCACCTATCCCTCATAGATCCTATAACAACTTGACATCCATCCACCCAAGCAGGAGCACTGCAGAGCTCAGGAATGCTACCTCTTCTTATAGATCTCATGCTTCCAGTCTTGCATCAGCTCACTCATTGGGTTATCCCATCTCTTCCTCTTTTATCTCCAGGCATGGTTCTAATTATAATCCTAGTCCTAGTTATGCCTCCCCTGGCTATCTCGGCAGGTCTTCAAGCCGTCATTCATATCTTCGACATTGTGAATCCGGAACGAGCCTCTCTGCCATGGAATCCGCACATTCTCTTCCAGGACTTCCTTAAGCTTATCATTCATGATTCCACCTCAATTGTTTATCTACTGACAGATCCGAGCCGGTACTGTGAATTTAGAATGAGCTTGATGAGCTTATCTTGTGCTTTTCCAGGCCATCATTTTGCTTATTTCGAAGGCCTGGCTTACATGAGGAAGTATTATGTGGATGGAGCTGGGTGCTTGCAAATTGTGCCGTAATGATTGAAACTTATTTTTGGCAAAGCTGAAACGGAGAGTGGATTGACCTTTTGACATTTTTTTTCACCGGTGGATTTGGTTTGGTTCTTCAGAAGTTTTGTTCCTTTTCTGTGGTTTGGTGTATATATATATATATTGTTGTTGAGAAGCAGATGGTAACCGTAATTTGTTTTCAGATTTGTACTAATTACTGAGCGATTTTCTGCGAGATATATTCGCTAAATCTTGCACATCATGAATCCAATGATACCTCAGATCAACTTGCTTCGAACATGAGTGGAAATGTGAAATTCTAACTGAGATGAATTGCATGTGACTATCACAGTATAAGAAACCATCTTGATTATGGCCCAATTTTTGCAAGAAATTTTTTATCCACAAGACTGTTTGCAAGCATCTGCGACTGCAATATATTTGGCCTTAATAGTTGACAAAGTCACAAATTTTTGTAGTTTAGATTGCTATGAAACTGCTTCTCCAATGAATGTAGCTAAATATCCTGGAGTGGCCTTCTTTGAGTCCACATTACAGAGCATATTTGCATCTGTATAACCAACCAAGATACGATTACCATTTCCAAACATAAACACACTTTGAAAGAACTTCTGAGATACTTGAAAATCTACTTAATTGTTGTCCAATGCTCTTTTCCTGGATTGGAAAGAAATCGACTAACAATTCCAACAACATCAACTTTGTGGTGCGAGGGTATAACCAAGAATATGGTGTTAATTAATTCAAAACATTTAGCCCTATGACAAAGATGATGACACACCGAGTGCTCTTTACAAGTGGCTCATCCTACAATATGATGTCTCTAATGCATTTCTACATGGTAAGCTTCTTGAAACTGTTTATATCAAGCTACTGATATGCTACATTGATCATCAATTCCAAATCATTTTGGCTTGCTTAAGAAGTCCTTATATGGACTTAAATAGCCACCGAGACAATGGTTGGCAAAGATCTCTACATTTTTCTTCCACGAAGTGTTTCAAATCAGCAAGACGAATCCATCTCTCCTAATCTCGCATAACTCTAACCCTCACATATATATACTCCTTTATGTCCATGATATTCTCATTACAGGACATGACATGGCAGCAATTGAAGCACGCACATCTCACTTCAGCTCTTTAAGTTCCAAATCTAACATGTAGGACCAGTATCTCAGTTTCTTGGCATTAATGTTACTATGTGAGATTATTATATTTTCTAGGATCAATAAAGCTACCTCACTCAAATACTCCTTCAAGCTAATATGAACGGCTATAAGGTGGTTGTGTCACCTTTACCTAGCAAGCACGAAAGTGGCTTTCTCACCTCCCCTTTGATGGATAATCCCGCCGAGTTTCATTAACTCACTGGAGCACTCCAATACCTAACAATTATGCAAACTGACATCTCCTTTGCGGTAAACTTCCTGTGCCAACACATGCATTCCTCCACAACATACCACTATCAAGTTCTAAAGCGGATACTTCATAACATCCATGGCCCCTTGGATAATGGACTTCTCCTCAAGCCAAGTGATCTCACACTCCACACATACTCGGACAACGATTGGGTTGGTAATTCAGAAAACTGGTGCTTAATTATAGGATTCAACACTTTTTTAGGTACCACTCTAATCTCATGGGCAGTCAAGAAGCAACACATCGTGGCTCGTTCCTCCACCAAAGCGGAGTTTCGTGCCTTGGTGACAGCGGCGCGCGATACTCTTTGCTGAATTTGGCTCTCCACAATCGGATCCCACCAAACTTTCGTGTGATAACCTCTCTGTGATGGCGATTGCTATGAATCTAGTCTTCCACGCTCACATCGAGCATATTGAGATAGAATATCATTTCACCTGAGACCAAATTCAATTCAATTTTCTTCAAATCCACTACATTAACACCCAAAGTTAACCAACAGATATGTTAACTAAATCTTTGCCAAAAAAAAAAGACGTTTAAATTTCTACAATCCAAGCTCCAAACTTCATCATCTTAATGAGGGGTAATAAGGCAAAGTGGAATAGGTTAATATATATTAATCATGAGTCACACTATAAGGGTATGTAAAGTAATTTTCCTCCTCTAGAAACTTATTTACTGAGCATGTATGTTGTACCGTAAGGTAACTGTGGGCTGCAATGGAGTAATGTGATTCTAGGTTCTCTTCTTCCTCATTTTAGCATTGCATCTATTTAGAGAGTCTGGAAGTAGTCTTCCCTGTAAATGAGGAAAGAATTTGTACTACTTCACTAGACGGCCTAGAGAGATTCTTACGATCAGACGATATATTGCAAATATTTTAGTGTTTTAATGATGTCAGAATTAAGTGACCTTAAACTCATTGGATTCATTTCATTGACACACTCAATTTGACTTTGAATCGTCAAACCTCGAATCTATTTGACATTATAATTAATCACACAAAGCTTCAAAAATAATTTAACATCTTAATTCGAGCTTGATTTGATACTGCTTGTATCAATTTTAGTATCATTAAATCTGTCTCATCAAATCGATTGTTTGACTATGATTTTATTGAAATTAGAATTCTAAATGATTTTTAATTTCAGTTTTAACATTTATTTTTAAGAAGATGCCTTCAAAATCATGCCAAATGATAATAAATTTGTTAATGATGTATATGATATATATACGTATAACATAACTATTATATATTTAGCATCTAATTTTCATCTCTATTCATATTAACATCCAAATCTTTAACCTGTCCCAAATATCCCATATAGTAACCCTTTTTAAAATGATAGATCTTTCTTATAAATATATTTTAATATAATTATGATACTAAATATTCTATAAATAAATATCAAAATTTAAAAACTAGATATATAAATACATAAAAAATTGTGTGTATTACACGCAGATGTCCACTCCCTTTATTGGGTGCTATTAAGACATTGATGAGTTACATATGGAACATCAAAGTAAATATGCACTTACCATTTATCAAAAACAAATTAGAGGTACACAGCGAATGTCCATCTATACATCCACAACTAAAAATTCCTCAAACCAATGAAAAAAGAAGGAAAAGAAAAAAGCTAAAAAATATACAATGTATGAGTATTAATGTTGTTCTACCAGTCCATGAGCTCTATATCTGATCAAACTTGTGCCGACACAGAAGCCGGCTTAACTCAATCATATACCCCCAAGTTCCACTAAGCAGCAAAATACAACAATTCTGAATAATTAACATCAGAAATTCAGAAGCCACATAAGCTTTTTCTACAATTTTCATTCCTCCGAATGCGAAGCATGATGAACGCATATAAACCATTGTCCATCTATCTCCTCAAAAACATTTGTTGCAACTTGCTTGCCCCAGCTTCCACCTTTAGTCTTCACCACCTCCATGCAGGTCACAAACCCAACATTTCCCCTAACATGAACCTCAACATCCTTCAAATCAATCCGAATGGGGAACTCATGATCAGCCCCGCAAACAATCTCCCAGCTATCCGTTACTAACTCATAGCCAGATATCCTGCCAGCCCCGGGATGAACCACATAAACATGATCCCCTTTGGCCCAGATTGATTGCATGGCTGCTAGATTTCCATTCCTGAAAGCATGGTAGAATCTCTCATTGGCTGAAAGAACTGAAGCCCTGCTGTCCTCATGGAGGACCTGGAGATTGTCTCTGAGTTTCGCCGCATGAGCGTAGTCTTCGTCTTCAATTGCTTTGTCGAGTTGTTGCTGCAAAGTCTGCTCGTCGAACATTATTTCATCGGCACGTGGTTTTCCCTCTGCCTCCCCACTTTTAACATTGGGTGAGATGCATGAATGAGAGCTTGGATTTCTCCGAAGATAGACTGTGCTGGAGCAGAGAAAATTATGAGTGTTTGGAGTTCAAGCAGGCCTGGATGATGCTGCTTTTGCAATTTGAAGGATTTTATGGTAATGTAAATGACAAAATTTGAAATCATCAGACTAGAGATTGTTGATGATGTGTGAAACAGAGCACAAATGCTTATGCTGCATCGTGTATCAAGTTACAGTATGCTAGACGAAGAAAAAAAAGTTACCATATTGCAACTAATGCCAAAAAATCATTGAATGTTGGGAAGAGTAGTTCTTTAAAATCAAAATATTTGCAATAAATAGGAATCAATAATTTTTTTTCAATTTATACCAACAGATTAAAACTGAACCTAGTAAAAAAAACATGAATAGATGCATGCCATTTTCTGAACTCATGCAAGCAATTTGATGTGCTTAAGTTATTTAAAATCTAAATATTTGTAATAAATAGAAATCAATCATTTTTTTTCAATTAATACCAACAAATTAAAACTGAACCTAGTAAGAAAAACATGAATAGATGCCTGCCATTTTTTTAACTCATGCACGCAACTCGATGTGCTTAAGCCTTGAACTTAAGGCTTTGTGGATGGAGACAAATCACCTAACCACTAGGTTAGGGGTGTGTTTGGGGCGACTGTGTGGTGGCGTTGCAATGCCGCACGTTGTTTTGCCAGCGTTCTCAAAAAAACTGCATTTTTTCGCTAGACCTGACTATCTGTGGTGGCTGCTAGAAAGTTGTGGTATGACTTAAAAAAAAAAAAATTATAATAATCGCCGCAACTTTTTGAACAACAGTTTTTTCTTCAATAGCTTCAAAATTGCTTCGTCAAGCAGTTGTCGCTGCCACAGACGACCGTCACCGTCATCACATAAATCAATTATCCAATATTCATTAATAAAATAAATTTCAAAGACACCGAACATATTTATTTCAAATCAAACCATAAGCAAAATAAACTTTAAAAAAAGTAAAAAAATAAAAAAACAAAAGTGATCATGCACTGCCGCTTAGATAAGAGAATTTGGTGTTTTATACTTGAGGTTTGACAGTGAGATTTATGGGGTGAGTATGATTTAAACTAGGCTTGAACCAAAATAAGAGTTACAGCCAAGGCTAGCAGAGCTTAGTAATTTTTTTTTTTAATTACAATCGTACTGGCAAGAAGATGATATAAAGCAAGTTTCACCATTAGAGAACTCCGGCTCCAGATGTCTCAGGGATTCATGCTAGATAGTTGAAGTAGAAGAAATGAACTAGACCTCCAGAATTCTCATCCTAGAAACTGACTTCCATGCTCTCGTATATGTTTCAAATTGTAGAGAAATGAGGGGGGCGCTCACTTGTGGAAGATAACTGGGAGTAAGCTTTGGCATAAGTGAATTGCATGGCTGCAATACTCTCCCGTTCGTAACAGTAGGAACTAAACAAATTCTTAACAGCTAGTGCTTAAACACTGCGAGAATTAGACAAAATATTCCCTCATCTAAGGGCAGGGGTGGAACCGGCATTACATAATATATTGATTTAATAATAATAAAATATAATAAAATAATAATAATTAAATGAATAAAAATATATATAATTAGTGTTTCTAGAAAAATACAAATAAATTTAAAAAATGGAAATACAAATAGATGAGAATATAACATTTTTAAGAAAATATATATAGAAAAGTGGTTAAGTTGGATTTTTTTTTTTTTTTTGTTTCAGGTAAAATCATAAATTAAAGGTGGGTAAACATCGAAAACTTAAGATTTTTATAAACAAAAAATTTGAGGCTCTCACTATAAGGTGGTTTCGCTCATGGCTAAGGGTGTACTAGCTAAGCATATCAACTCCTTGATAAGGGTGTTCATTTTTTATCCTCTTTTGTTTCCTTCTAGAGTAGCTTCCCTGTGCCCTTGTATGCGTCTCGTGTGTTCATAAAACTCAGCTTAGCTAAGCTAATGTGCTCTAGTTCGCCAATTTATTCAACTCAGAAATGAGACAAGATGAGTAATCTTGCACATTGGAGTGCGTCCTAGAGCAAGTATATAAACTAGGCCTTACAAATATTGGTGTCTGAAAAGCTGTCTACTACATTTCGTATCAACAAAAAAAAGGAAGCCAAAATAAAATCAACATGAAACATATAAAAAGGAAAGTGTATAAAATGCACACTGATGAGATCTATATGAATCTAGAAATTTTATATGAAGTGTTAGTTTTTCTTTTTCTTTTTTTGTATATTTTTATTCATATTATATAACTCTATTTTTATGTCACTACTTTAATTGACATATGTTCCAGAATTAAACGGATCCTACAACAAAAACAACAACAAGCCTTTATCCCACTAAGTGGGGTTGGCTACATGAATCCTTTTTCTCCATTGTGTCCTATTGAGAGTAAATTTTTCATTTAATTCTAATAGATTAACATCATTTTTTATACAATAAGCCAAATTCTTTTTAGGTCTACCTCTCCCTTTCTTAAAATAAGTCAAATCTAAAACATCTACTCTCCTGATAGGATCATCAGATGGTTGACATTTAATGTGACCAAAGACGACTCTCTCTAATCATGTCCGCCATTGGAGCTACACCAACCCTATCACGGATACATTCATTTCTCATTTTGTCTTTAAGTGTCAAGCCACTCATTCACCTATGCATTCTCATTTCAACAACACTTAACTCTATTTTATGTTTCTCTTTTAAAGACTAATATTCTAAGCCATAGAGCATTGCAGCTCTCACCACCATCTTATAAAATTTTCTTTTCAGTCATAGCGGTACTTTTCTATCACATAGTGGACTCGATGCATTCCTCCGCTTCATCCAAACAACTTGAAATTCTACTAATAACATCATCATCTATATCACCATCATTTTGAACAATCGACACAAGATATCTAGAACGATCACAACTTTTAATGAATTGATCACCCATATTTACAACTCTACCACTAGATATACTACAACTAAAATAACATTCCATGTATTCAGTTTTAGATCTACTCAAACGAAGGCCTTTAAACTCCAATGTAGACAACTCCAAACGAAGGCCTTTAAACTCCAATGTAGACCTCCATAATTCAAGTTTTTCTTGAATTCTTTCTGTAGTCTTATCCACTAGAAGGATATCATCAGTGAAATACATACACTAAGGTATATCCTCTTATAAATGTTCAAAAAGAATATCCATAACTAAAGCAAAAAGATATGGGCTTAAAGCTGATCCCTGATGTGATCCAACTGAAATAGAAAAATACTTGGTCAATCCCCTTCTGTTCAAACACAAGTAACAACTTTAATATACATATCTTTAATGACTTGAATATAAGTCATATCAACACATTTGTTCTCTAGAACTAGCCAAAGGAGTTCTCTTGTAACCTTATCACAAGCTTTTTCTAAATCCATAAAAAATCATATGTAGATCCTCCTTATTCTCTTTGTACTTTTCCATCAAACTCTAATAAATGAATAGCTTCCCTGGTAGACTTGCCCAACATATATCCAAACTGATTATGAGAAATTTTTGTATCATGTCTTAACCCATGCTCAATTACCTCTCCCATAATTTTAAAGTATGACACATCAACTTAATTCCTCTATAATTTGCACTCTCTTGTGCATCCCCTTTATTATTAAAAATGAGAACCAAAATACTCTTCCTTCACTCCTCAAGCGTCTTATTAGTTTAAAAAAAAAATTTAAAAGTTTAACAAGTCAAGAAACTCCCAAATCTCCTAAATATTTCTACACTTCAATTGAGATATCATCAGGTCCTACTAATTTTCCACCTTTTACTTTTTTTAAATCCTCAATTTACTTTTTTGCTAATGAGATGATAAAAATAAAATGTTTTATTATCATTAACAATATTAAGATCACCAAGGTCAATCATATTTTTTGAAACTTCATTGAAAAAGTTATCAAAATAACCCATCCACCTATGTTGAATATCTTCCTTTGAGAAAAATAATTTTTGATTTTCATCATTAATACACTTTATATGAGTTAAATTTTTACCTTTTATAATATATATTTTTATATTATAAAGACCACTAAAGGCAAAATTTTTAGCATCACAAATTATTCTCTTAGACTGTCTACTGACTACCTTATATTTTTTCCAGTTATCTAAACTTTTACATTTAAATCAATTTTTATAACACAACTTCTTATATTTTATTTTTTTCTTGCACATTATTATTCTGCCACAAACTATTTTTATTTATAAAGGCTTTTCCTTTTGATTCTTGAAGTCCATCTTTTGTCACTTGTTTAATAGTTTTTTTTTTTTACTTTATCTCACATAGAAATCCCTTCTTCATGAACGTCCTAAATCTTCATCTTAAAGTTTTACTCATCAAAATAAATTTATGTCTTTTAGGTGTCCCAAGAACTAATAAATGATATCGAGTACTTAAATTATTACTCGAATGAACTTACAATCTTTACAATCTTGACGATCTCGTTTTCTCATAAGAAAATAATCAATTTGTGTTTTATTAGATATATTCTTATAAGTAATAATATGTTCATATACTTTCTTAAATAAAGTATTAGCGATAACAAAATCATACGTTAAAAAGAAAAATCTAATATACTTCCACCTTCTTCAATAGTCAAAACCATAGCTACCACGAATATTTCTAAAATCTTCCACTACTGCCAACATGTCCATTTAAATCTCATCTCATAAATTTTTTTTCTTCAAGAGATATAATTTGTATTAAATCATGTAGTTCATTCTAGAATTTTTCTTTTAAACCTATATCTAAACCTACTTGAGGACAATCAATACTTATAAAATAAAAAATTTTAGTATCAACAACAACCTCAAGGACTATAATTCTATCTCAATTTATTAATTTTTACAACATTATCTTTCACTCTTATCTATAATTACACCTACACCATTTATATTACGACTCCTACCTGAATACCAAAATTTAAAAACTAAGCTAACAATCTTTTTAGTCTTTTTTCCAACCCATTTATTTTCTTGAATACATAAGATAA